CTTCATCAATATCAAGACTTGTCGGAACATTTTTTATGACGAAGCAATGAGATGATGATGCTCCTGGTTGGTAAACAGAATAATCGCCCTTAAATGCAGCTGTTTTCCAATTCTCATTTCGATATTCTTCCATTAATTTTTCTTGTATCGTCTTATTTAGAAATTGATAGATCAGTCCGCCTTTTGGATGAATATAAGCAAGTTGTGGCTTGCATTTCAGCTGAAGATGTCCTACGGCTGCGTCTAACCTGCTTAATAATTCTTGTGTTGCATCTTTTATTAGAGTTGTATGATTTTTCAAATAGACAACCAATACACGATTAAAATCTGTTTTCAAATTTGGCTTATAATTTGATGCCGGTGCTTTGAGATTTTTACTAGTTATGTAAGCGTTTTGTCATGTTGCAATTCTCAACTGAGCAGATGATTCATTTGTTGTTACTACTGTTTCTTCATTTGATATTTGTGCCGCAAGCGGTTTTGTTACTTCCGCATATGTTGTTGATCTAGACATTACGGTTCTTGGCATTTCATTTCTATTACTATTTATCGGATTGTCTATTTTGCTCATTCTTGTTAAAAGAATTGTAAGTTGGCTCTTAATTAATTCCATATCCCCATCTTTTGTTATTCGTGCTGAGCATTTATCAATTGATTTCACTAATGTTAATTTAATGAACTTGAACAACTAATCAAAATATAAATAGATGACAAGGTCTTAAGTTTTGTTTTATGAAGTCCTTTAACACAAATTGATCAAAGTTTACGCTCAGTATGCAGTGTTTTAGAAGCACGGCTAGATCAAAATATTTTGGATAGTCACATAAACATGTCCAATTATGTTTGTCCTGTAAGATTAGATATGGTGTAGGTTTAGCAGTTTACATCCATAGTGATTATCATGCTATCCACTTACTAGGGTTTGAGGATCTCGCACCTTGGTGTTTCCTTCTCTTGGTAAGAGCCATTCTTTTCTACTTATTTTTTAAATAAATTAGCTGTCAACTTAAAAACTAAAACAACTGTACGAAAAAATTAACATTCACACTATTTTCAAATATCATAAATAAAGCGCCCTAAATATCGATCATAGTTCTTTCACAAATAGTTTAGAAATTGACGTTTACATTAAAATGTTTGTTTATATCTCAAATATATTTGACGTGACAATGTTATGATTGTTGTACTGATCTTAAATGGTAAATATTTGTTATTGTTGTTCTTGTTGATTGTGTTTGTGTATGAAAATATTTTGGTATTATTTTAATTAATTCTTGTCTAAATAATCTCCCAGTTAATATATAAATATAAAAATTCACACCACTGTTAGAATACCATAATAAACGTAATAGTAATAGTATAAATGATTCAATTGCTTGTCTTTCTTGAGATCGTTCTACTTTATAATAAGATAATAAAAGTAAATATAAATTCATCAATGAATATCGAAATGAGAATTGGAAAACAGCTGCATTTAAGGGCGATTATTCTGTTTACCAACCAGGAGCATCATCATCTCATTGCTTCGTCATAAAAAATGTTCCGACAAGTCTTGATATTGATGAAG